GCTTGTTTTCCTTCTAATTATATTGAACATATTAAACGTTTATTCTGAAAAAAAGGAAAGATTTTTAATCCATAACAGCTTTGAGCATGTAAAACATGAGAGAGCATTAAAAAAAATGTTGACATGGAAAAAAAATCTACAGAATTTTATCGATTTTTCAGGATGGCACTTTTTCGTTGTTGTTTTTTTTTTTTGTTGTTGTTGTTTGTAAATTGAAATGTCTGAGCTGGATCACCAAAATTCATATTTATTTTATTTTATTCCTGTAAGTCTGATTCCTTTTAACTGAACTGATCAAACTTATTTTCATCAATTGAAAAAAAACTGCTTTGTTTGAACTAATTTTACTTGAGTTAAACTTTTCACTAAAACCAAAATGAATCTTATTTTATAAACAAGGTTTTACTTCTCAATCTTAATGAATTGGGGGGAGGGGGGATTAAGGGTTCTAACAAGTGACGTAGAGGACAAATTATTGGTTCATTTGACATTAAATTAAAATGAATTTAACCAACTCGGTTAACCAACTGTCTGAATCAGAAAGATAATGCTGACCCAACTCATTTTATTCTGAAAGAGCATTAAAGTTTAATTYTTAAAAAAGTTATATATACTCTTTAGAAAAAAATGTTATTTTTCATTTAATGTGTTTTAAGTATGATCACAGCCAAAAAAATATATTGTAATAAAGTTATTCAAACTTTTATTTTGAAATAAACGCGAATCTCCCTGTCCGATAATGGACATAACGTGCCTTTTTTTTTTTTTTTTTTTTTTTTGGATTGAGGGTGTTTTAAGTTGAAGAACAATTTTATTGAAGTCTTGAAAAGCTGAAATAAAAGAAAACCCGATTTGCTTGAACATCATTTTATTCTTTTTAAAAGTGGCTTTGTAAAAATGTAAATGACATCATGCTCGTGCACGAGAGGCTTTTTATTTCTCTGAAGCTGTGTCCTCTTGTTGACACTAAACCTGCGGCTCTTGTGAAGTGTTTGTTGCAAACAAATTTCTTTTTAAAAGAAGTATTTTTTAAAACAAACACACGCGTGCTTGTTTGGGTTTGACACGGTCACACTGATGGATCAAGTTTAAAAAAATACTTTGAGCTCAGCTGTGAGTTTGTATACTCAGTGGGGTATCATTGTAGAATACATTTTTAATTATTGCCGGGCTACAGAAAGTTAATTTGGGAACATTTTAGGCCTTTTTTTCCCCCGGATTAACGTCAGCTTCTGTGCGTAATTACGCACGGTTAGTATGTTTCCCAAAACATCAGCTTGCTTTAATGTACATTTCATACAAATAAAATAAATCAAAGTGTTCCAATCAGAAGCAGCAGTTTATGAGAGGTCGGTTCAGAGACCCGGGACTCTGGGAACTGAAGCCAGAGGAGGGGTGTGACCTCACTGTTCCAAAACCTTTCCTCACCTGTAGAGGCTCCATAAATACTCCCCCTCCTCCTCCTGAGAGACACTTCAGTCCTGAGGGACAGACACAGAGACCATCTCGGCTTCCAGGGTGGACCTGGTCTGGGTGGATTATGAACGCTTTTGGACACCAAGCACCGTCCAACTCTCAGAGCAGCCCCATCCAGCCCCACAGCGCGCAGGAGCTCCTGGACATGGCGGTTTACTGCGACAACTACAGCGTTTACCAGCAGAACCTGCACCCCCACCACCACCCGCAGAGGCCGCCGGCTCCCTCCTCCAGCTACGGCCTCGGAGACTACACCCCCGCGTCCTCGAACCCCTACCTGTGGCTGAACGGCGCCGGCATCAACACCAACCCCTACCTCCCCGGAAACAACCACAGCGCGTCTTACGGCCTCCAGTCCGGGTACGGGTCGAACCAGAGGCAGTACCTGCCGCCTCCCAGCGGGTTCGGGGGCGCGGACCTGGGCTGGCTGTCCTTATCCAGCCAGCAGGAGCTCTTCAAGATGGTCCGACCTCCTTATTCCTACTCGGCGCTCATCGCCATGGCCATCCAGAACGCGCAGGACAAGAAGCTGACCCTGAGTCAGATTTATCAGTACGTCGCTGACAACTTTCCTTTTTACAAGAAGAGCAAAGCTGGATGGCAGAACTCCATCCGCCACAACTTGTCCCTGAACGACTGCTTTAAGAAAGTGGCGCGGGATGAAGATGACCCCGGTGAGTAGATTTGGCTTTATTTTAAGATGTAAGAAACAAGTTTCTCAACTCCTAAAGATGAAAAAAAAAAACTTTCGTTCACATCCAGGTAAGGGCAACTACTGGACTCTGGACCCGAACTGCGAGAAGATGTTCGACAACGGGAACTTCAGGCGCAAGAGGAAGAGGAGAGCGGACGTGAGCGCGGCGGAGGGCGGCGGCGCTCCCGCGGTGAAGTCCGAGGACAAGCTGCTGTCCTCCCCGGCCAGCCTGCTGAGCTCCTCCCCGGCCAGCCTGCACGGCTCCCCGGCCTCCACGGAGCCCAAGTCGTCGCCGCCTCCCTCCGCGGAGCACAGCCCGTGTTTCGGCAGCTTCGTGTCCAGCGTGAACTCGCTGCTGGGGGGCATCGGGGAGCGGGACCACCAGCTCCTCCATCACCAGCAGCAGCAGCACCAGGGCCCAGGGGCGTCGCAGAGCAGGGAGACCACCGGACTGGGTTCCTACTCGCCCACTTTAATCCCTGACAACAGGATGAACTGTTACAGCTCGGTGCAGAGCATCTCCAACCACTTCAGCGTCAAYAACCTCATCTACACCCGGGAGGGGACAGAGGTCTAAGACCCCGGTTCTGCTTCTGATTCTGGGGCCTCCCACTGGAAATAAAGCAGCTCATTTTCACTCTGCTGCGTGTGTTTTGGTGAAAAAACACAACCAAATCACACCAACCTGAGTGTTTTTCATAAAAAATGCTCATATGGAGTGACTTTTGTCTCCAAATGAAGACATCAATGTACAGAAATTATTTTCCTAAGAAGAAACGTGACATGTATGTAAGACTGGACTGTTTTATTTAAACTCAGCTGAATTGTTTTGTAATAAAAGCCATTTATTTACCCTTAAAATCAAACTGGGATCTTGTTTGAATCACATTATTTTACCTGGAACTTTAAAGCTTTTAGGTCATTTTTAAGAAGTCAAAATAAGCAGAAGACAAATCTGCTAAAAGTTCCCACTTTACTGAAAACCTATTATATTGAATGAAAACCATCTCATGCTTACCTTCCATGTGCTTTTAAGGGGCCTTAACCCGTCTATTTGCATTCTGATCTTTTAAACTCACCGCAAGTTTTCAAATATTCTTATATGATTAAAGAATCGAGTTTATTGGAACGAGAAATTATTTATATCTAATCTAATTTGTCACATTTAAAGTGTTTGCCTTTTTTCTTTTCGTAAAACTGAGTTCAAAGCTTGAAATGTTTCTCTGTTTGAATCATCTCATTGAGATTTAGCAGATTTATCAGTTTAGTTCTTTTGATGGTGTTTTTATTATCAGTGACAAAGATTCTGTWGGCCACGCCTCTTTTTTATTTTAGAAAATTCATGTTGAAAAGTCCTTTATAAATATTTTTTGAATCCTCCTTTTGGCTTTGTATTAACGGAGTCTCAGACCCTAAAAACTTGCACAACTATAGATTTGTCTAAAGTCCTGTCATGACTGCACAAATAGGAAACAAACACTTTTCTTCTTGTCACTTCCAATAGAATGAATGAACCTTTAAATTAATTTACAACAGGTTGAGTATTCTTGCACTTGTCACCCCCCGACCCCAAAAAAAATGACACAAAATCTAACACTTTCTCCTCTGTGTGAAGGATTTTATTGCTGAAGAAAACAGGAAATGTAAAGTTGGAGAATATTCAAATAATTCATCACCCTGCTTTAGTTTTATTCTCCAACAATATGGACAGGCACGGAATCATCCTGTAAACAGAAGGAAACACCTCTTAATTGGTTGATAATTGATCGCGCTCAGGCGCTCTTTGGTCTGGAACAAAAGGGAAAATAATTTGACAAGACTTCGTGCTGCTCGGAGCACAAAAGAAGCTGGCAATGCGGATAGATCCCCTCCTGGGCTCGAATGAAAATATTGCCATCTGAAAGATCTGGGAACAAATTATTCCCCTCCCACCAGGCCACATTTTTACTCTATTATCTGCTGAGCAAGGCCAGCGATGGGACAAAGAGGAGGTTTGTCGGACAGGAGCTGGTTCTCACAGTAACAAGTTTTCTGTTGAAAGCCTCATAGATGCCATTTAGATCCCATTACTACCTGTTCTGGATCATCCAGGTCCTCACACTCCATCAGGATATTATCAAGTAGCTTTTTTTACATTATGGAAGTAAATCCTGTTCAACAACCAAACTAAATGTCTAAAGCAAAATGTACTCAGATAAATATTCAAATTATATTGTAAATAAATAGTGATTCTTTATCATTTGCAATGCTTATAGGAATTCATTTTCTCTTGCAGGCATGAGCTTTATTATAACATAAGTTATTTCATTTGAATTTATTTAAAAGGATAGTGCTCATTTAATAACTATATACTGTATATATGTATATATATCGTAAGTAAGTAAGTAAGTAAAGTTTTATTTATAAAGCGCCTTTCACAGAAATATATTCACAAGGTGCTGTACAATCATTAACAGTGTAAAAATGGTGAAAAGAATAAAATGAAACAGAAAAACATAATTGCACGTAAGCAACGGAAATTGAACATCAAATCAGGAATTGATTTCTAAAATTGTAAATCAAACACAAGGTCAATGCAGGTCAACATATACAGTAATAAACAAAAACATAATGAATGCGGGAGAGAAAATATGGCGCAATTTCAATAATAAAGAAAACACAGATTTGCGAAGCATGGAGGTAATGGTGAAATAGTTAGCTAAACGCTTGAGAGAAAAAGTGAGTTTTTAGGAGTGTCTTGAAAGAGACAACGTTTTATATATATATATA